GCCCTCTGGTGAGGCCCGCCTGCCTGCCAGTGCAGAGTCCTGCCTGCATGGCTTCATAGTGGTAACGGGCTTGAGTGCCATGGAGGGAATGGTCTGTCTAGGCACAGCTGGATCTCCAAGCCCAGCACGTACCAGTGGTGAGCCATGCTGGGCAGTACCGTGGTGAGTTGAGCTTGGCCACTTTTCACCAGAAGCAAAATGAAACCGCCCTCCTCCTGAGGGTCTGCATCCTCAAAACATCCACCACCGCCCCAGCACTGCTTTAGGAACCTTTATTTTTAAAAGGAGTCTTCCACACTTCACCCCACTCTCAAGAGGACTAATGCAGGTGAATCTCCCCCATCCCATCCCAGCCAGGCTCTGCCAGCCGGGCAAGGCAAGAGACAGTTCCTTCACACTACAGCCCACAGGCTGGGGCAAAGCCACAGCTGGGGTCTCTCTCCTGGAGGAGGGGGCCAGGCAGTGAGCACCGGAGAGAGGCTGGAACCTGGATCTTCCTGCACAACTGCTCTCAAGTTACACTGACTTTGCAAACAGAGGCACAATATGAGCCAGACAACCCTGACAAAGCCCCTTTGTGTGCAAAGGGCAAAGGTAGAAGAGATGGGAACAGAGGGCCTGGGCGTCCTGCAGCATAATCTAAGCTTCCACAAAGGAAAGGGAGAGGCAGGGCCAGCCCCAAGCTCGCACAGGCTGCTGCCAGCTTCTCAGCTCAGAAGAGAGTTCGGGTACCGTCTGGGATAGAGAGATAAGGGAATTAGGCTGCTCTCTTCAGCTAAGTAGCTGCAATCAGTCACAGCTACAGGACTGATCCCAAAGGAATTGCAGCGAGACAGCATGTAGAGTGCTGCAGCTGCCAGCGTGTGTCACACGGAGCTGTGCCACGCTGGCATTTAGCATCTGACTGAGCCCAAAGCAGCAGGACTCAGTGACCCCACTGCAAGAAACATTCCCAGTTTCTCACAGGCAGAGCTTGGAGGCAGCACCCAACCCACTGAGCAGAGAACGGGCAAGGAAAGACCGTGTGTGTCCCTGCCCACCACTCCACCACCACTCCTAGAGGATCAGGGAAGTAGAAGTGAGGTTATAAAGGAGCCAAGCAAACCAAAACCAAAGTGCTTTGGGCAGGGAGCAGTTCTGTAGTCCTGTAGTGCAGCCAGCACTTTCATCTGCAAATGCACCCGGCATTTGCTCCTCCACTGGGGCACATGCAATTGCACTCGCTAGAAATAGCCAGAAAGCCTGCCCTGGCTTCAGATGAGATCCCCCAACCCCAGCCACCCAATGGACTCTTCCAGATGCTGCCACAGGGAGGCTTCAGAAAGGAGCAGGCTTCCATACTGCCAGGCAGGGCAGGATGCAGCTTTCCCCTCCTCATGCACCCAAGGCTTGGGATCCCATTGTGCTTCTCCCCTTCATGCAGTGTCACTCCGTACCAGTGCCGAGGGGGAGGAAGTCCTTGCCATGGGTGGCTGAGGGGCATCATCAGCCCCGGCTTTTGAGGGGATCTTGTGCTCTCGGGGTGGGGTGGGAGGGGGGAAGGTGGGGCTCTGCAAGGCATCTGAGTACATCTCGTCCTGGACACAGGGACGCTGCACAACCCTTTGCAGCAACGGCTTGAGCAAGCCTACAGTCAGCTGGTTCCCCTCACTGGAGAAGGGCACTGGGTCCTCCTGGGAGTGAGGGAGGTGCTGCAGGACCACGGTGAGGATGTCCGAGGTGGTGAGCTCTGCAGGGCACAGCAGCCACAGCGTGTCCAGATAAGGGTCCAGCTCCCGGTGCTGGGCAAACTCCGCCAGCAGCGTGGTGAATATCTCCTTGTTAAGCAAGGGGCTGAGCTTGGAGAACTTCTCTGCCACCTCCACCACCCGCTGCCACCGCTTCAGGCGGATGAGAAGGTGCAGAGCTTGCAGCACGGCCTTAGGCCTCTTGCTGCAGAGCAGCAGTTCGAGCTCCATCTCATCATTCGCCTCGCTGCACTTGTTCTTCCTGGCCAGTACTCCCAGTGCTCTCTTGTACAGTGGCACCCGGCCCTCTGGGCCCTCCTTGCTGCTGTATGCCCAAGAGATGCTAACGTACTGCTGGGTCAGCTCCACAAAACTGGGCAACCACTTGGGTTTGAACCTCAGGAAGGAGGCGCAGATGAGCTCAAAGAGTGGGACCACCCCATTCTGACCCACCTCCTCCTGCTGTGGCCCTCCCAGGACCTTCTTCCACACCTCCGGGGTGGCCCTGGCTACTAAGAGGCCGTCCCCATTCTGCTGCAGCTGCAGGCAGCTCCTCGTGGCCTTCCAGGCAGCCTTGGGGAAGGAGGCAAAGATGGAGTTCAGGTAGGCCAAATTGTCCTTGTCCATGTCAGAGTGCAGAACACGGCTGACCTCCTGCTCCACCAGTTCCTCGCAGTAGCTTTCCACCTCACTCTCTGGTGCACACACCACACAGGTCTTGAGGAGCTCCAGGCTCATGTAGCTCTGCAGCTCCAGGCTCATTGTGCTCAACAGCTTGGCATAAGTGTCTTGGAGGCCTCGGGCTGGCTTCTGCTTCTGGCGGAGGCTGTGCTGCAGGATGGCAGCGAGGGCCACAGGAGCCTGGAACACACCACCTTTCTTCAACTTCTCCACCGTCAGCTTGGAGCTGCTGAGGCTCCTCCTCTGGTAGTATCTGCAGGCCTCCTCGAACACCATCTCCACCAGGCACGGCTCAGGTCTGCTGCTGTCCTCAGGTTTGGAGAAACTAAAGCCGTAAATGCCAGTTTGAGTGAGGAGCTGGATGCTGTCCTCCTCTCCCGGGGACTCCAGGAAATGCACCTCTTTCATGCTTAGGATTTTCTTTTCTATGAGCCTTCCACTGTTCTGGTCGACGAGGTACAGGACCCCAGCCAGCATGCAGGCCAGGATGCTGCCAAAGGTCTTCAGCTGGACAGAACTTCCTTGGGCCAGGGGGCCCCCCTCCAGGTCAAAGATATGCCTCTGCGTCCCATCTGGCTCCACCATGTTCACAGCACCCTTCGTGCTCACCAGCAGCAGACCCTCACTGTCGGACACAGCGGAGGTGTGAATGTCCAGAGGTGCCAAACCTGAGAGAAGACCCACGGAACCAAGCAGGAGCTTCCTGAAGTCTGACTCGCTGCTGGAGCGCAGCACCTTGCTGTGGATGAAGCCTGCAGAGGGGGCTGTGATGGTGAGCTTTGCCTTCTCGGGATGCCAGATGAGCAGGAATTTCGAAGTGGTGGCAAAGCTGGCAGCGGCAGGCACCAGGAAGACGTGCTGAGGGGAGGCCAGGACCTGGTACTCAGGGCTATTGTGCAGGACTATCCTTACAGTGCCCAGCCGCACGCCTTGGTCCCCCACCTCCAGAGCCCGGGTGCAGACACAGAACCTGAAGGCACACTTGCTCATGTCCGAGTGGGCATCCAGGGGAGGCCTCTCCTCACACCACACCAGGCTGGCTCCCTGGCTGCACACGGAGATGATTCGTGCCCGGGCACCCTGGCAGAGCTCCAGTGTCTGCAGCAGCTGCCAGCCCAGGGCCACCACGAAGTGCCAGACCTCGGTCCGGCCGTGTTCCCACACAATGGCCAGTACCCAGGAGCCCAATGTCACAGGGCTCTGCAGGAAGAGCAGTCCCGCAAGAGCTGGCTGGGGCGGCTGCCAGTTCCTCTCCAGGTCGGCTCCACTGATGCTGTGACGCTGGAAAGCCACCACCCGGGGCAGGGGGGGCGGCCGGCTCTTCTGCAGGACCAAAAGGTGCTGCCCATCGGGGCTGGACTGGACACGGCTGGGCTCTTCTCCCTGGCACAGCAGCTCCTGCAGCCAGTGGGCTCGGGTGGAGCCACTGGAGGCGGGGACACTCCGGC